CCCTCCCTCTCCAGCAGTGTCCCACTACTGCCAATCCCTTTCTTGTAGTAATATGATAAATGCTTAGGGTCCACTAATGAGTAAGAACAAGTAGTACTCAGTTCTTTGCTTTTGTGATAGATCACTGATACGATAGACTAAATCCATTCAAGTTGCTGTGAAGTCCGTCACTTTGTCCTTCTTTATAGTTGTGTAATATTCCATCATGTATATGTACCACATTTTTTAAATCCAGTCCACTTTTGATAGACAGCACAGTTGGTTCCGTGTTTTTGCTGTTGTGAATAACGTTGTAATAAACATGCATGTACAGATCTTTTTTGTAGAGTGATTTGAGTTCCTCCAGGTATATTCCCAGAAGAGGGATTGCTAGGACATATGGAAGGTCCATTTCTAGATCTTTTAGAATTTGCCACACTTGTTTGTACTAATTTACACTCCCACCAACAGTGTAGAAGCATTCCCTTTTCTCCGTGTTCTCTCTAACATCTGTTGTTTTTTGAGTTATTAATGATGGACATCCTGACTGGAGTTAGGTGGTATCTCAATGTGGTTTTGATTTGCATTTATTTGATGATTAGTGAAGCTGAGTATTTTTTCATGTATTGGTTGGCTGTTTGTGTGTCTTCTTTTGAGACGTGTCAATAAATTATGTAAAATTAAACACAAAGGGCAAAGGGAAAGCAGCATCTTTAAGAGCAAGTACTACGTTTCTTAAAAGTGGGTTTTTAATATCACAGGGATACCCTCCACCCTCCATCTCACCCACTGTTATCCTAAAACCCACACAGAATACCTCTCTGAGGTTGCTGTGAAGATCAGCCAGGAAGTGGGTTGTATTTAACTTGTAATATTTTCAGAATGCATCTCGTCTATATTAACTCTACAGTGTTCACTTACCTTTCTTACCAAAAGTCACTTCTTTATGTTTTTTGTTGTTGTTGTTGTTTTTGAGTTGGAGTCTCACTACGTCGCCCGGACTGGAGTGTAGTAGCCGCTCCCGGCCACTGCAGCCTCGCCTGCTGGGCTCCGGCGATCCTTCCACCTCAGCCT